AAAGAGTACTGACTTACAAAAATGAGTATCATCTATTTTGTGCTTCTAAAAAGGTTTATTATTATACTAGGTTAGCCCATAATTATATAGGCAGGTTATTGCTCGAGGCTTATACCAAATTTCATTCGAGTCCGTCCGGTACTTTTCATAAAAGAGCGGTATTGTGTCATAAATTGAAATAGCGAATTAGTTATCAAAAAAATACTATCAAATTTCGCTGGAGTAAAGTATTTTGTAAGTGATCACTTATGATGCTCAATTTGAAAAAGTCTTTGGACTACTGTAAACGGGCCACCCTGTAGGTATTAACATTATATAGTAGACTTTTTATTCTGATCATGGGTAGATATTTGTATATTATTACAGACTGGCCCTAGTTGAGTAAACATTGTGTAAAGAGACTGTTTTAGTGTACTCTATTATAATTATTGTTGCAGATTATAGAGTACGTCTAGGTACATGATATAGAAGACGGCCTCACGGAAAACCGACCTGCACCCTCGCTTGCGTTGAGTTTCGTCGTGTGAGTGAGGTTACCGAAGGCCCCAATTACAAAATTTCCCCAACAATCCCTGAATCCCCAACAATGTTCAAAATCCGTATCCCCAAAAGGCCGGTAACGCACTAACATCTCGGTGTTCCAGGTGATCTGTCTGCTCGGTGACCGGCTTATCCCATAACAAATGGCACACAGGAACATGTGGGTCGTACTGCAATATCACCGACAATACTGCGGTGCTAAAACTATTATAATTATGCGTAATCTCTATAATACACCATTATCCCCTATATAATTAAAAATCTTAGGTAAATGGATAAAATATTACATAAACTGTTTATTGTACAACATTTGAAGTGGTTTGGTACAAACAATAACATTTACAGAAACTATTGCATTATACAGTATACATTGTTCTAATAGAAATGATGCACCTGTTGTAGATCATCTATTAATAGATACATCATACTTAGAACTTTGTTAGTATCGCTATCCCCAAAACGGGGCGCAAAGTAAGGAAGTGGTATTACTATAACAACTTTTATTGACTTTTACAATAAGCTCATTGTTAAAGCTTCATAATACCCTGTTATCTCATTAAAATGCCATTTTTTTTCTAAGTTCTACAAACAACAGATTTACGGCTTTCACATCCTCTCATTATCAACTGAAGTACAAAGGCTATTACTTTGACACTTCTAACAAAACACTACGCATCCTGTCAGACCATCTGGCGACGGCTTCTGCGACAACTGTCCAACATCTTAGTCAAGTCATTCTCAACCTTATGCTGAGTATAGAAGGTGACTTAGTGAGCAAAGACAAAATGGTTATAGTTAAGACCAGGGCAGGCAATAGTTAGAACAATTAGCGATTGTTTGGTAGGTCCGAGACGTGGGCAGGGGTCGACTGGCAGCCATATGTCCCGCGACACATACAGCGCTGGACACGTAGCGGCGCACGTGGTGCACACAGGACACACAGTACCGGCCGCATCCCGTGCAACACGAACCGCAGTACTACCTACGTCGGTCTCTATGTAAAGGTGCGGCTAATGGATTCTTTTTTGTTGCAATTTACTTTGGCTGCATTCCATAGATACATGATTATACCCTAGTCATCATTATCGGAAGGCGAACATGTATGCCTTGCCCAATTAGTCACATATAATAGCAGATACGACTAAGGACACACTGTACCTAAGACAAGGATACGGAATCATCAGAAACACCTCTATTTAGTACAGTATGTATTACAATAACGAGGTGGGAACATAAAGAAGACATCTACGTGGATAACATTCAACCAGCTCATACATCAACAGGGAGGAGCGATAGCTTGATGTTTAGAATATGAAATGTATTATCAGCGCCGTGGTATCTGTCGATATCCTTTCCAGTGCGAGTGTTTGGTCCCACGTCCCGCGCCCGCCAGATTAGAGAGAGTTGCTACCGATAACCTCGGGACGCTCGGTGAGCTGATTACACTGTTTTTATTCCGTACCGGTTTGTTTATCACCACACAAAACTGTTCGCTGATAGTTTTAAAGGGATATAATGCTATTACAGATAACGTTTGATGGATAGCATTCGTTAGCGCAGCAGTGGGTCGGATGCTGCTTGGATTTCAAATATTCCATTTTAATTGTTTCGTAACATGATTCCATTTTATGGATACCCACTCTTCTTAAACTGAATCTTCAGCACAAAACTCACATTCTCAATCAAGTAGGTAACCTATTTGAGAGAAAGAAAAAAGAAAACACATTTATTTACTCGCACCAAACATCATTCCGCAGAATGGCTGTATGTGTGCAATCAGTGTAATTATACATAATATATGGTATAAAGTAACCGAAGCCACAATTGTTACATAAAAAATAAGAACAGAACTCGTTAAATTCGTTAAATTGAACAATAGCGGAACTAATAATAGGTGTGCACGTAAACATGCGGGCATCGGAAACATGTCGCGAGCTCCGCATACCGGCGCCGGGGCGTCATGGAGGCCAGATACTGGCGGGCAGTCAAAATACAAAATTATTTCCTATACCTAATTTAATAGGTATACACTTATACGAGATAAGTACTACTGATTAGACAAAAATAAAACCCAAGCAACCTGAGCGTTCATTCAACCTATATTGACGACATAAATGAATGGGCGTATAAACAAGTGATATTTGTTTGACAGCGACAATAAAGAGCTGTCACTGTTCTCCTGTAGCTGTAAAACGATAAAGTTACCTGTGGCGGGCGACACCGATGGCGACCAGATGTGGCACGCTCGCCAGGCTCCCACGACGCTAGGTGTGTCTGCACAATACACGATATATTATTATCTCTTGCGACACTCGGAACAATAGCACCTCGCAACCTTATGTATGTGTTACGTCACAACCATTTTAATATATTCTACCTATATTTAACCTACATACTTGTTTTCCATCGGTCTACAATGACAATTGCAATGAAACAAATCACACTCCAATTTAAAATCGGTTATATCAGGACAGTAACATCAAACTCTAAGATTACGGCTAAGTACTACTCATACTAACAAACAATGTAGCTATTAATCGTCTAACAGTGCTTACTACCTATTTAAGCACAGGGCCCTTGCATCCTGGGCGAGGTGTGTCGGGTCCTGCTGCAGTGTCCGCGGCCACACGTGGAGCCCGCATACACACACACACACACACACATGTATACACGTGCACTAGCTCTATTGTACGGAATAATTACTTCTCCGGAGTAAGTATTATTTTATTTTAACCTCCCGCTCATTAGGTACCCCATTCACGTGTAGCACACAAATGATAGTGTAAATAATATATGTGTAGTTGGGTACGGGACCTACGCAACTATCATTCAAATCAAGCTAATTTTGATACCTATAAAACAAAACTTAGTGTATAACGTAACACTGAATGAGTAGAACAATACAAGCGGTGTGAGTAATTGAGACTGAACCGACACCTGGCAGATAGAGAACGTGTCGCAGTCGCAGTGAACAGAGAGCGTAGCAAATGACATTACTTGAACAAATTGTATGGCGAGTTTACAGCGGCCATAAAACAAGGCGAGGGACAAACCTGAAGCATTGTGGTGCGCGTGCGCACGTGGCGCACACGTGTACCTACTACAAGGTGCTATTGTGTGCATTACACAACGACACACCGATGAATGCTCTTAAAGACAAATAGACGATCGAAGCCATCACCGCGCCGTCAATTGGTTCGGCGGAACGTGGTTCAGCCTGAACCCAGTTGGATCGTCGGTGAGTACTTTTCTTCCCAAAGCGCGCAGTGCGATGCGGGCAGCCCGTGCGCGTGCGCAGTGTGTCCCACCGATTTATCTCCTGCAGCAGAGTAGCAGGTAACTTGCAACCAACGGCGGCAGCAATCTACACCACAAAGCACTGGAGCAGTCATTCGATGATTATCCCCCCTTAAAAAAAACACCACAAAGTAAACCTTTAATGTATACCTCAAAAATAGTAGGTAATGTGCCAAACAAACAATAACTGCTGCAAATTATTAGCTTTTTATTATGCATTTTATAAAAATAAAAAGAGAGATACCTATTAAATTACTGTGTACTGTTACAGTATCATACCTGCATGCATAGTACGTAAACCTTTTCTAATTAATATATAAATTGTCTAATTGTCTAAATCTACTTAAAATAGGTACTACATAATAAGTAAATGTAACTCTCTTGGGGTATTTAAGTAGTAGGTATTTACATTTGTCTTAAGTTACCATTGTTGCAATATTGTTGAAAGTTCGTAGTGTTCACTGTTCAATATTGTCATCTTTTTGCTTCAGCCTTGTGGGGAATGTAAGCAAACGTACTACTAGCGCCATCTAGTGACCAAAAGCCAAACGAATCCTGACATATTTAGCTCGCTCGCATTTTATTTTACGAAGTTGAACTCTTATAAATAAAGGTTATCTGAAATATATTACATTATACCTAAATAAATAAAATACGTATGTATTTAGTTATTATGAGTTAATGATGTGGGTACTTTAAATAAAAAAGAAGTCTAATTTACACACCTTTAACCTAGGTACCCACAAAAATCGGATTTACCTACGTGAGTACTCTTGTACTATTCAGTAAGGCAGGTATAAAGGTACAGAATGTATTATAATTTATTGTAAGACCGACGTTAGATAGAGACAGGTAGATTTGCCGCGAGAAGGTGGAGCGTAGAACATGTAAATAAACAACGCAGAGGTAGAGCCGCAGCCGCAGCCACGCACTGCTCGAACGAGACAAGTGCCGACACGAAGGTGTTATGCAGGAGCGACGGTGTATCGTTATTGTAGTCGTGGTGAGACACGGCTCAGTAGTCGCAGTCGCCAGTCGGCTCTACTAATTAAGTAGAGGTGGGGGGAGGACGCGGGAGGTGAGAGGGGTGCGCGGTGCGGTGCGGAGGGCGCGGGCGCGCAGGGCGGGGCGAGAGGCGGGCCGGCTTCATTCCGCCGCGCGCCGCGCCGCAACGAGCACGTCAGTCCGCGCGCGCGGGCCATGGTCGCGAGAACCGATGAGAGCATGTTCGGGTGCTATGGTGACAGCTACTCGTACCGCCTGTGGAGCCTGGCCAACGTGTGGGGCGCCTGCCGATGTGAGTAGCGCGCCGCCAGCGGCCCGCAGTACACGTGCCCCCCTCGATACTGAAACTAGGACTTTTACCGCTGACGTCAGCGGAGGCTGTGAAATCTCGGTGTAATACGACGTAGATGCGATTTCCACACCGCGAAGTGCTTAACGCGTTATTAGATAGCCCGTGGCCGCGGTCAGTGACGTGTGAGAACAGAGGTGTCGCTCGATGAAAGTGCAGAGCTCGTTAATGGGAGTTGGCGGTTGGTACGAATGCTTGGCGGCCGGTTGGCTTGCAGACATGAGGAGTAAGCAGGTCCCAACGTCCACCACCTCGGCCAGGCGGCTTGCGGCCTTAAGTAAGCTTCCTTTCTTTTTGTTTTAATTTGCATTTTTATATCCTTTCACCTTTTTGGCTCATTACATTATTTTCCTTATTACCTTTACTGACACTGGAACCTTATCATTACCACTCAACTTTCTATACTTATCATTTACATACGCGGTTAATTTCAAAGTAATTTCAATTTTATACATTTCGATTTATTTATTAAACAAAAAGTTTATACTTTTAATATGTACTTACCTACCTTGTAACAAGCAACCATTTATGAATCGTTTCCAACTACAGGTGAACATTATTTCACCTTTTGGAACATTAAAAATAAAACTCGAGCACGTCTTCATCAGAAATAACCTCGGTGTTTGGTGATCTCCCCTGCTCTCCCTTGGGATATAACTCATCCACTTGAGAATCGGGAACAGGTACACACAGACTTGAAAGAAAGTTTCGTTTGTCGAGGGGAGCCCCGCTCGCCTTCACCGCCGTAACTCGTAAATGATTATGTTGTTTTAATTCATTTGCTTTTTTCTGTCTTACATTTTTATTTTATTCTTCCTCCTTGAGCGCCGCCTGTCTGGAGTGGATAGTATAATATTTGGACGTTTGATGCATTCGTTCGGCCTACAACGTTCTATATTATGAACGCCATTGACAAATAAATTAGAAATACCTTTAATTGCATCGAAATCGCGGATATGTGATGGTTTCATTTTTAAGTAAACGACTGACAGCATACCACCGACACCATGGTTTAGTAAACCAGTTTTAAAAAAGACTTTAAAGGATGTTTATTACTTTGTTCTCGATCTACCAAAATGATTTTTATTACGTTATAACCCCTTGAGAAAACAATATGGTTTTAATTAAATACATTATCTAAACATAAAAAGGTGCTACAGAATAATGCGAGATACTGTCTCGCTTTATTCTTGAGTACCTAATAATAACTATTTACAAAACAAAAATTAAATATACTATATCTAATGCACACATTTTGTCGTCATTAAAATGAGCTTTGTGAGTTCCATAGGTGATCAATTTAGTGACAACTATCGGACTTTTGTTTAGCTAGCTAAAGAAAATAAAAACAAAATATGGCTTGTTGGTATAGACATAGAATAATATTTTTAGTAGATGTATTAAAAATGAGGAAAAAATTGATGAAATTACATATACTGACATCCCCTAAGATAGTCCAGGTAGAGATACCAATATAGTTACCTAGGTAGATTAAATATATTATCGCTAATTACTTGTTTGTTGAAAAGAAAATGAGGGTTCTCGTAATTACGCGTATGTTGATTTGTTAATCATTTGTCAACACGTCACAGATAGGGACAGCTTCTACTCGCCACAGAGGTGTCGTGACTCACAGTTTGTGATTCAGCTGTTAGGATTTTGTTGTTTTGGCATTTCACCCCCACAAGCACCTACATATGTAGGCATTTACGGTTATTTTATTTAATCAGCACAAATACTGATAGCACACTTAAAAAATTCAAAGGTACGACCAGTATCTAGCGATATTTCTTTTTGTTTTTAGTGTTTCAATTAAGTCGTATACAGTCAATTCACAGAAACTTTCTAATTAGTTAACGACATTTATTATTTCCTTCTTACCATTCGGACTTATCGTCCTGGGTCGCGGAATGCTGCTCTTGAATACGAGCCTTTAGTATAACTTGGAACTTACTATAGTCGACTACCTTGCCAAATAACTTGCCAAATAACAAATAAATATACTCACGTAATAGTAAGGCGAAAACCATAGATAATTAGAGTTCCAGTTTTCTGAAAATTCTTACTTATTGCACTGATCTCCGAGGAACTCCTGGCCTTAACTTATAAGAAAATGTGGTTATCAATGTCAAAATCCTTCTTTTAAACTACTGACTACTTACCCAATTAATTTTGATTTATGGATTGTTTACTTGTAGGGTAATATTACAGGACAATATGTATTTTGAGTTAATATGGTTTATGGTGACAGCCAGAGTCTGACCGTCCATCCACCCAGTGATTCTCTAAAAAAAACGTTTATTGCTTCGCCTCTTTTTCAAAATCTACAAAGAAATGAGAATGCATTAACTATGATTGCCTAACGTATTTATATTAGCATCGTCACAAGCATTCGTTAAATCTATGTGTGGTGACAACAATCATAGTTGTTTGTAAATCATTTGGTACTATGTGGTAACCTAAACACTTTAAATATTATTACAACAAACTGTTCCCAAGTCCTCGCTACCTATTACCCATATACTTAAAGCTGTAACTAGATTCGACTTCTAAGTTACATTCAGACTTAAGTGTTCCTTTAGACTCAATCCATATTTAATCAATCATTGTATACGCGTCGCCTACATTTCTTTGTTAATGGTAATTTGGTGCCTGTCCGCGCGTAGTTGTCCGCAATGTTCCTACAAGATAATTATATGGGCAAGTTGATGCAGCTGATGGAACCGAGTCGGATAAACGAGACGTTTTACTGAAATGTAGCATTATTCAGTACAATGTATTGAGAGCTCTTATTAAAGAGTTTAAATTTTTTGCAACTGTAAATAATTAGGTATACCTAGACGTAGCCTCTAAGTCAAAGTCAAAGTCAAAGCATTTATTTCTATTAATCCTTAATTAGGCACTTTTGAAACATCAAAATTTTAATTGTCCGTCTGTCTGTCTGTCAGTGAAGTTAGACACTTGTTCTAAAGTAGTTTAGAATGGAGAAGGAGGAAACAGAAACTCCATCGTTACTCTTTAAAAAAAATGTTTTTAAACTGTCAAACACCAAGCGGTCACCGGTGACCGCAACCTATTGTTTTATAATTGTGTCTATAATGACGGTACTCGACGAGTTAAGTCTCATTGATACATTATCTGATCCTTGACCCTGTTTAAACCTATAAGTACCTATGTGAGAACGATGTAACGACAATACAACGTCAAAAATTAATTGGACTACGGAATCAACTCCTGAAATAAAAAAGCTATGTCATTCGTAGCTTTTTTTTTTCACTCTGTACATTCAACGTATTAAGTACTAGCTTGTGCCATCGGCTTCGCGCGCGTACCCGGGATAAAAATCAGCCCAAGTAATTATTCAGACCAGTCTATCTCAATGCGTCCAATAGTTTTTCGTGAAAAAGTAACAAACATGGGTAGTGGGTAGGTACGTCCATACATCCTCGCAAACATTGGCATTTATAATTTAGTAGAAAAGATAGGATTATTAGGATAGGATAAGACAATATTATTGTATTCGTTTTTATACATAAACCATACCGATGAGCTACAGAAGTACACTTTGGATAATTATGGTGATCGAAATAGAGACAGTAGATAATCGTTAGGCAGAAAGTATTAGGTCAACTGAAGAGTTAGAAGTTAATATGAAATCTATCAGTCTGAATGTAGCGGTCAAAAGATGTAACCCTGACAAGACTGCAGTTACAATGTGGTGCAACACTCTCACATATGTTTAGTGGAAAAGAAATAGTTCAATAGCTTTCGCAGACCATGATTACAATTCATGCAATAGGCAGGCGGAGTTTTTTCTTCGAGTAAAGCAAACACTTGGGCGCTCCGCGTCGCGCCCCGCCGCCCGCGCCCGCCGCCCGCCGACACAGGTGCGACCAATCACCACTCCGCGCGTCTGTGTGCTACGATCAACAATCAAACTCTTATCTCTTGGACTACACCGACTAGCGACTGCGCGCACGAGTGTGCGTGTGTGCGTGTGTGCGATAATTGTTATTTGTTGTAGCAGCAATAGGAAGCGCAGCGCACTGGTGTGTGTATATAAGTTTTTTATCAGCGGTTAACGGACGCACTCTGCCCGTGCGCACAGATTACTGTACCGCCGATAATGTCGTGTGTAGGTGTACATCCGTTCTACCTAACAAACGATACGCATCAAATATATACCCAACTCCTTATTACTTGAATCAAATTGTTTTTATCTACCTATAAGTACGATTTATCTACCCAAATACTGGAATTGACACAAACTAATTAAGTGAACATGCAAGAGTACCTCCGTACCGTACTTACCATTATGAAGCAACAAAGTCATTATTGAAAAATATTTCATCGAATGTAGCTCTACAATAGAGTAACTGAAATCCATCATTTCACCACTGTACAGTTAACGCCATCTGTTGGCGAGTAGCGGAACCATAGATTATCCAAAGAATTATTTTTAGATTATGTGACTGAGAAATTTAAATCTTAGATTTTACATATTTATCATTATGTAGGTATTGTGTAATTTGTAATCTAGAAATAAAGGTCTACTGGGACATTTTATCTCGTAATTTGTTTACCTACACTTGGTTTTAACATGCCAACTGCCAATTCCAATCTAAATACAAGTCTAGATCATTTAGGTATTTGGAAACTGTATAGGTTCCTAATTAACATAACATTTTATCCCTAGAGGTGTAGGCAGGGGGTACTTACAAAATATTATTTATTTAATTTTATTTATTTATTTAAATTTACAGGCACAACGGTTATAACAAACCAATTCCAATATGCTATTTCGGGCACAATTCTAGACTCCGTATTTTATAATACTTAATAATCTTTATCAGTCTCTTAAACATTTAAAAAAAACAATATACCGACATAATGGCAACAGTTACTCGGCGGTCGTGCTTGACACCACTAATGAGGCAAAAGCACTTATTTTTGTATCGCAATAATAAATATCTATAAATGAAGTTCAGTTCGTTAGTCTCGCTAAGACTCGAGCACGGCTGAACCGATTCGGATAATTTTGGTCATGAAATGTTCGTGGAAGTACAGGGGAGGTTTCAAAGGTGATAAAACAATGTAGGCGGTACGAAGTTTGCCGGGTCAACTAGTCTAAAACAAGTACCTACTTACCTAGGTAGGTATCTACGTTTTACGACAACAAGACGTTTTCGCCAACCTCTTCTGAATTTTAAGACACCCCTAAATTAAGTGACATTGCCACAAGGGCCACCTAGTACTCCTAGGGGTCAGTTTAGGTGCTAGGTCACGCTTAGTTACTTTTATTTAAGAGATGGTTTAGGGGTTGTTGATAAAAACTGCCATAAGAATTAGATAATCTCCAGTCCTTAGGTATATCGACCTTCTATATAAATATAGGTACTTATACTTATTCATCCATAAATTACGCCACACGAATTTCATGATGTTTTGCCCCTCCCCCCGTCCTTGTCACAGCTATATATATAGTCACATTTTGAGACCCTAGTGTGACGTCACATTGTGCCGAATTACGAACCTATGTATAAAAATTGCTGAATGAAAACAGCGGTTCCGAAATTAATTATATTTCTATTTAAATTACTTTAAAAAAATGCCAAAATAAACAAAATAAAAAACATTAATATAATTATATTCCGTGTTTTATAATAGATTTTGAAATGTGACATCACAAAGTCTAGGATCCCTCCCTCCCCCTTGTCACACAATGTCACACTTCGTCGACCCCCTTCTTACCCCTTAACGTGTGACGTAATTTATGGACGGCCCCTTACGTACATACTGGTACACACCGTCACACACGTTAAATACTCTAAGCATGTCTCCCATCGGTGTAGATATAGACAATAGAATGTCAAAATGACGATTCTGGTAAGTATACCTCTTTGTACGGCAGTTGTGTGTGTGTGTGGGTTTGATTCCCAGATTCAGTGCAACAGTTTCTCTGTGATCCACAATATGTGTTACACTTACAGGAAAAATTCTAATGTGGTAACGTTTTATTTAAAGAAAATACTAGGTATTAATGCATGTGGCCTAATTGGGTTCTGAAACAGGATCATTAATATAGGTACCTACATAGGCACTTCCTAAACTTCAATACCAGTGTCCCAACTCCCAATACCAGATTATATACTGAGTGTAAAGGACACGCGGCCAGTGCACGGCCACGCTAATTAATACGTCGCCCCGTTGTTTTGCTCTTTATTATATTTGATTTACGAGGCGCTCGCCAATGCCGCTTTTAAAAACGTTATTACGATGGAATACAGACAGTAGGTACTTACTAACCGACTCCAAAATAGGTACATACGTACGACCTCACTCACACGACGACACACAACACAAGCGTTGTTTCACGCTGGTTTTCTATAAGGCCGTATCACTCCGTTTGTGCCGGCACATTCGTGACGTTCATTCGATGTTAATAGTGTACATAAGTCAATTTTCTTAGAAACGCAGTAACATAATACCTTCTACATACCTACCTACCTACTTTTATTTGTCTAAACTTTGTTATAAGTAGGTAATTAATTATTCTAATTAACATTTGTTTTTTTTTTCTTCACAGTCCGTCCGCTGGCGGGCGGAGGGTCAGAAGGCAAGCCGTCTGAAGAAGAGGAAGAGCGAGGTGGCTCGCCCCTAGGCCCCGGCGGCCCCTTCTCGTGCAGCCAGTGCCGTGGAGCCTACCCGACGCGCGAGCAACTCGAACGCCACGAGACCCTGCACGCGCCCAACACACAGGTGGATACAATCAAATATGTCAGTGCCCATTGTATTACGAATTTAAAATATATTAGAAAATTGATATGATACAAGAATGTTACCTACAACAGTATGGGTCGTCAAAGCTTCATATATACTTCGATTCCAGTTAATTTAAACTTCATAACTAAAAAGGCACTAAGATTAGGTAAAAAAAAGTTTACAAAAATCTAATTACTTTCATTTGTCAACAGTCATGCAAGATCTGCCACAAAAGCTTCGCGAACGTATACAGACTACAGCGGCACATGATCAGTCACGACGAAAGCGCATTGCTACGCAAGTTCAAATGCAACGATTGTGACAAAGCTTTCAAATTTAAGCACCATCTCAAAGAACACTTACGAATACACAGTGGAGAGAAACCATTTGAATGTGCAAACTGTGGCAAAAAGTTTTCTCACTCTGGTTCCTACTCCAGTCACATGACGTCTAAGAAGTGTCTCGTCATGAATCTCAAAATGGGACGAATCAAACCCAATAACCCGGCTTTAAACCCAGAAAGAAGTCCATCACGAAAAAGGACTAATGCTATGGTTGCCTCACAGTTAAATAATAATATGTCACCAAATGGAAATTCCTTTCTTCCAATGCCTGCTGCCTTCTTTGCTTCCATGTCCTCTCAAGACAATAATTTTCATCGCCCTCCATTGGGGCAGCCAGGTATTCCATTCTATTTGCCTCCTGGCATACCCATGAGTCCAGCTGGTGGTATAGCTCCTTATAGCTTACCAGCATCCCTCAGCCAAATCTTTGAGCAGCTTGCTTCATCGCAATATCAAACAAGAAAGTTGGAAAATCCTATAAGCCCCAAACCAACAAGCCCGCCTACAGCAGACCCAGAAGATCTGATCGAAGAAATAACTGAAGACGACGATAAACGATCAGAAGGAAGCGCCGAACTAGTGATGGACATTGAAGATGAGGAAGCTGTATCAATAAAAAAGGAACAAGAGGAACGAAATATCGATGTAAGATCCCCATCGCAGAATTTTGATGCCGTCCCTTTAAATAATAACGCTGACAATTCAGGTTTTAATTCAATACTAGAATCTGTGAGCGCTTCCGTTACAAAACATTTCTTTAGAGCAAACATGGAAAAGCTGTCTCCTATTTCGGGCAACGTTTGTCCTAGTATAGAGTCTCCGCCAATTTCTCAAGTCGTGGTGAAGGAAGAACCAGAAGAAGCACAAAGATGTTTAAAATGCAACTTAACTTTCTCAAGCAAGTGTGAGTTATTAGAGCATGAGAAAACTCCTTGTGGAAATATGTTTAGAAAACACGAAGGTTTGGCAGCTCAAGTAGCCGAAACGGTAGCTCTTAGATTGGAAGCAGAAATACATGCTTCCATACAAAACGGAGTAAGTGCAAGCGAAGACGAAGACTTTAATAGAGAGGATCGCGATGATAAAATATCAATACATGACAATGACAGGAAAATTAGAGTTCGCACAGCATTGAGTGAAGAGCAACAGTCCGTTTTGAAGGAACATTATTCTTTAAACCCCCGACCGAATCGCGAGGAATTCAAAAGAATAGCCCAACAGATCGGCTTAGACAATAGAGTAGTGCAAGTTTGGTTCCAGAACAACAGAGCCAGGGAACGACGTATGACTCAAACGATAACCGCCTCTGATCAACCACTAGACTTGTCTACAAAGAAGTCGAATCCATCAGTTACGTCAAGTCCGTCGCCATCGCCACCATGCAGCATTTCTGTGACACATTCCGACTCAGACGAGGCTGTAAATCTTAGCCAAAAGTCCTCGCGAAGTACAACGCCTCATCGTACCAACTATTTGAATACTTATCCACATTCCAATTGTTCTTCATCTTCTTTCACCGACTTTCGGTTGTCTCCTTCGCCAGGAGAAACAATGAATGGACAAAAAAGATTACTACCCCAAAAATTACACGTGAACCCTTTAGTACCCATGGACAAACTCCTACAATATAACGACATGGCCAATGCAAGATCTCCTATTCTTAACATGCATCTGACCTCAGACGTCAATAGACAAGGTTCGAGTCCATTATATGAACGTCCTCCTTGGGATGAAATGCAGACATCGAATGAGATTGATGAAGAAGCCACAGTACTTAAGAAGAGCAAACTTAAGCAAGGAGCAGAGTTCAAGGAAGGCGAAGGACAATTCGTGTGTGATCAGTGCGATAAGACCTTTGTCAAGCAAAGTTCACTCGCCAGACACAAATACGAACACTCAGGTGAGTTCACAAACAACAAACATACACCTACCTGTAGATACGACCTGTAGCCCTTTTTAGTAATTAGTAATTACATAAAATATGCAATTGGCATTTTATTATTTTAACCATTTGAGACTCTTGAGAGTTATTTGAAACAGTTTCAATGGATGAACATTTTTAATCTTCGTTTTATACCTTATCTACTTGTTTGCTATAATTATGTTCCATATTTACTTTTACAGTAAACTGTAAACTACTCATCATTCGTATTATTCAGTTTCATCGGTAAAAGTACTAAAAGCTGCTGATTTACTTATTAACTAAGTATTAATAAGGTAGCTATACTCGTACGTTGAAAAGTGAGCTAAAACATTGTTAATTTTTCTCCACAGGTCAACGACCGTACAAATGTCTAGAATGTCCCAAAGCATTCAAACACAAACACCACCTGACTGAGCACAAACGCCTTCACACCGGTGAGAAGCCTTTCCAGTGTTGCAAGTGCTTCAAAAAGTTTTCACACTCCGGCTCTTACAGTCAGCACATGAACCACCGATTCGCGATCTGCAAGCCCTACAGGGACTAACACCGACATCACATCACTTGTTGAACTAAGTCTGGTATCGATTTCGTTAAATAATATTACAAATTCTATTGCACTTGTTAAATTCTAAACAGCACTTAATGTCACGACGGAATCAAGTTAACATTTTTGAAGTTTATTGATTGATAGCTATGATCTTATCTATATATTTTATTGATGGTCGACCTAAGTTACATTCTTTTTGGAACGAACGCCGAACTTCGAGCGGCGAATAAATGAAGCAATCGATACAGACCTGAATATTCGCTCAGTGCTCATAGTAACTGTAGGTACCTCATGTTTCAGTAAACACGAGACAAATCGCATAATAATTTATCTACCTACTCGTACAAAAAGTATTCATTGCCCGGTATTTTCGTTACAAACTTAATTAAGGTCATTGCTCAACATCACAATATTTTTATACATTATATTTACTGTAGAAAAATTATCTGAAAATCCTAACAGCCAAAGTAATGCCAAATATTTAGATATAACAAGTGCCATGCTAACACGCCAAACATATACTACGGTTAAATGATTCAAATTGTAGGTTTAACTATTTATCTAAATACAATACCAAAGGACAGTACCTGTAGAATACTCCTGTATGATTAGATCTTATTTCTTTAGACAGCGTTTAGTTAGGTCAATAATTAATGTTTATTCATTCATCTCCACATACAATACGTAATAGGTACTCGCGTATTTCGGTTGATATAATGTACTTGTGGCAATATATAAATAGAAATATTAACTTTTATTTTGGACCAACGAGATCTAGCAGCTAAATTCGTAAAAAATACCTGTTGTTTCCCTATAGGTAGGTACATTCAATAATTCTATGTTGTTCTATGGTACCTACCGTATTAAAAATGAAAAATATGGTACCTACAGTAGAAACACATTTAAAGCTAAATAAAAGTTTGAATACTATGTATTTTCCAATCTTTATAAGTACCTATATCCGAATGGAAATTAAATCAATCACCAGTAATCTACACACCTATGTATAACTCGGTTGCATTTCTTAAACCAAATCAAGATTTGGTCGCGCTGACTGGTAGGGGTAAGTCCGCAAATTGTGTATTTTCTCATTATTACATGGTTATTGCCATCGTTTAATTTTAATATTTTAATTACCTGTGTCTAGTTGGAAGTTTAAGGTAACAATAACAAAGTGTCATGTGTTGAAAATGAAGTGAGTTGTAATGAGTAAATACACAACCTGCCAACTTACACCCACGACAAAATCTAGACATGGTTCGTGCAGGCTCTTATACTCACGGATAGATAGGTTGATAAGTTTTATTAACTTCGAACGGAAATCTGAGATCGCTGTTTTATAACGATACAATAACGTAAACTTATTACAGTAGTTAAATAAAGCCGAGTTCTACTAAGGATTATAGTTAATAGTTAAATAAACAATAGATATAAAGCGTTTTCATCACATGGCAATGAAATTTACACAGTAAACTCTGGATTACCTCGGTACTGGAATAAAACTTTCATCTTGATTTACCCAATGAACTGGTGTAGATACATTCAGCAAGGTAATTAAAGGAATCAATATATTGAATGCCATAGTGGACATGTAAGGATAATAATTTGAATGAATACAATATTCTAAGAGATCGATTTATTCATTGTTAGCAAAACATTTTAAAATTTAATAAACCTAAGCTTCTCGTATTGTAAAACTTACATACTAAGTGTTTAGATAGATTCAATCTTAATAATTAAGTTTTAAGCATTCCATAATACTCCTATGGGATCTCTGCTGTGTTTAAAAAACTCTTTAAATTAGTCAAAAGATTATCGTCTGTTAAGTTGTAAATAATGTAATGTACATATTAAGCTATGTGTAAATATGATCGCTTTGTTGCCTATTCTTATTCAGCAGTGGTACGTCATCATAGATATAAATGAATTGTGCGCTGTTCACACTGCAACACAATCAATGGTGACAATAATGGACAACTATTTATTGAAGGCAATACTATTAAATAACTACATGTAATTATAAATATTCGCATCCATAACATATAAATAATCAAGCAAAATATAACTACTAATACCAGCTGTGGTACTCGCAAGTTTTTATTTTGATTAGAAAGTACAACGTTGTTGTTGATGTGTGATGTACTTAACTTAACGTATTCTGTTATAAGAGATCATGGTAATTGTGTCAACTCCAATCTGTCGCAACATAATATTAGAACAGAAAGTTCCTACGCCAAATACATTTAAGAGATACCTAATGATTGTTTCTATATTTTAATAAATGTAAGTACCTAGTTAAAATTATTCTTTAAAGGTTTCGATGCAACGAATTATATAAATAATTACAAGCAGTATATAGTAGCGAGCCATTAAAGAGCTTGACATTCTTCAGATATACAGTATTCAAACACATCAGGACAATATTGTCGGCTACTTCGCTACTAAAGTTCCATCATTCACAAATGACAATTAAGCACAGTATACAATGGACTCGCTGATTTCATTGATAATTAATAATTATAATATTATGATTACCTGAATAAGTGTACATTACCTTACCTAAGTACATGCATGTTATATAATGTAGACACCAAATATTGTTTGTATCTATCTCTTTTACTTTATCTAAATTGACTTAGCGATCCTGTTTGAACTATATATTTTATGATATTTTTATTATAAGTTATTTCCAAATTGTGACCGGTGGGCTAGATAAACCAAAGATTAATCATATGTTAACAATAATATGATGTGGAACACTGTAAAATATAAATATCCCATCATTTAGCTGTAGGTTAGTTTTACTTGTGCCAAATGATTATTTTTAAGGCTTTGAATGTAACTTTATATCAGAATTTTATTTTTACAAGACAAGGCATTATGTACTATACAGATTTGATTACTTGTGCAATACGATATTGCAGAAAAGTATTTTCCTTTTATGATCGTATGATGATATAGTTTTAAGTGTAACAGATAGCAAATGTGAATTCCTATTGCCATATTTGTCTTTGTTGTATTTCATAATGTTGTGTGATTGGAAGCCGACTGCGTGCCAGCACAAGGTTGCTGAATAATTGTTAAACTAAGTAAACTAGTTTGTTAAACTTACCTATAGATTAACATGTGTTAAAATATTGCCTATATAAATTATAGTAATTCATTTTACTTGATATTATAATGTATATTGAATTTATGAATATTAAAAATATATATATATGAAAATTCAATGCATAAACCTTCTTTTCATTACTCGACAGCATCCCTTATTCTCTAACTAGCCTGCAATAGTAATGATGAATTGATCACTTCGTGGAATGAATAATCTTAACAAATCTCGTATGTTTGGAGGTTTTGTTTGTAATTGTCGTAAATTCCTGTTCCTTATCTGTATTTCATTAGTTATCATTTCTTTCATTCGTTTCAAACACAGTTGCAAAACAATAAATCAGTTAGTCACTCGCCCATCGCCCTGCTATTTAATATTGTCATAATTTTCAAACAATAATTTGGAATTTTTATCAAAACTTTCTATTTAAAAAAAACACACTTTATGTATACAATCAAACTGTGGCTGGGATTTAATGCCGCGTGGCATTCTCTTCCACTTATTTCTTAGCGCCCTTCATGTGTAAATATAATTCTTTGCCAAAAAGCGAATTGCTTGAATTTTGCTTTTCTTGCCCTCGTCGAATCTAAGGACAGTCCTATCGACGAGTTAACAGATGAATTCTGCCGGTTCCGCAGTTGTATTTCTGCTGACGGCGTCACCCGCTGCAGGAGTATCTGTAATACAAACACAACATTCATTAAATGTTTAATATGTATTGAATTATTTTAACAAATGTACACAATCACTGTTTACGCTGATCTTGTGCTCGTTATAGAAACTAGAGGACCAATCTTCTCTAATGTATATGATGGTATTCTATAGGCGTTGATGGAAAATAACTTACTAAACAATGCATTGTATTGGAGCACTTGTTGCGTCGCTCAGTAATTGGACAGCCACACTGACTTTTTTTTTCATTTTCTAAATATACATGATAAGTAGGATGATTAATTTTAGTATGACCCACCTGGCTACCTGCAGAAGGAATAGCTATTATGTCCTCCTAAGTGGCAATTATGGCAGTAAAAACCATATCTTCTGTGAGTAATTGTTTCTTATACTTGTAAGCAAATGCTGTAGAAGTGTAGATCATACACTACACTCCAGTGTTGACCCGATATCTCAACAGTTCCATCTGTAACAAAAACAAATTGGCTTTAGCAGTTATATATTATAGGCATAACTTTAAATCATAGACATTTATTAAAGTTCTTTAATGTACAGAAACATAGATACAGAACGACAGTAACAAACTCACCGTTAATAAATAGGTAAGACCATTCGCTTCCATTTTGCGTTGTCTTTTTTTGACCCCAAGGTAGGAAATCTTCATGGAACCCCCTCGCCTAGGGTCTGTCAGACTGACTAAAACCCACCCCGGTGTTCCGTCACACAGGTGGGTAGGAGCTGGAGAGCGCGCCGTCCTCGTAGTTCGTCCGTCCTCGTAGTTCGTCCGTCCTCGTAGTTCGTCCGTCCTCGTAGTTCGTCCGTCCCCGGACCGGAGTCAGCCAGCTCTGTGTCCGATAGCTCTACTTGCTAGATAGTTCTCTATTTCTAGAACTGCGGTTCTTAACGCGGACCCTAGCTCGCACACCGCTGCCAATGGTATCAAATCCGATTGTACGACTTTGGGACATAATACCTTTTAAAAGCTGTGCTACTGTAGCACTTTCACAATATTAAAAGAAATAGCCTGCGCCAGTTTGAAGAAAATCACAACTTTTAGCACGAAAAAACATGATCACAAATATGAGTTCATGTCGTTTCCAAAGTCTTTTATAAAATCTTGTAACAAAAGTGAGTTGGGGTGTCAGTGCAACTTCGTCAAACGACATCGAGCAGTGTCTTTTTAACCGACTTCAAAAAAGGAGTAGGTTCTCAATTCGACCGTAGGTATATTTATTTATTTTGCGTCCTATTTACGAAGATTGTGCTTGAACACGTACACCAAATTTTACATTTCTTGCAAATCGGGCTAATGTTCTTTTGCTTGGTAAATGAAACATTTTTTGTAACACCATATATCCCTGTGGGCTGTCTTTCATTAACGACAAACACAAAAGCTTCTCATTAGTAGTAAATCTCATTGCTTCTTTTTTTCTGTTCGCCATTTTCAGCTGCATGAGAAGAAAGTCTTGTGCTTGTTTTGGTAGTTTTCCAAACTGTTTGCTGAACAAATGGTTGTTGCTTATAGTTTTAGCATCATCTCCTGAAAATGGCGTTTGCATGTTGCTTGCATTGTCAGCCATTTTTGTCATACTGTTTGCAAAGCTCCTACAGCGGTTTATCATTTTATTGCCTGTAAAAGGACAACATCAACACTATAATAAATCTATATAAATGAATATTAATATCCGTTCGTGAGTCTTGATAAAACTCGAGCACGGCTGAACCGAATTGAAAATTTTGGTCTTGAAATGTTCGTGGAAGTACAGGGGAGGTTTCAAAGGTGATAAAACAATTTAGGCGGTACGAAGTTGGCCGGGTCAGCTAGTAACTAATCAATACATAGTATAAAACAAAGTCGCTTTCGCTGTATGTCCGTATGTATGCTTATCAATACATAGTATAAAACAAAGTCGCTTTCGCTGTATGTCCGTATGTATGCTTAATTCTTAAGGAAGGTTTGTAT